TAGGGGTGTGTGGGGGTGGAGTGGAGTTTGGGTTAACGAGTGGCTGCTTGTTTTTGTTTCGGTGTCAGAATATGTGTGTATCTTCCTGGGGATTAGGCAGGGTTTTTTCTTCTATTGAGTTGTTAATGAGTGGCTGCTGGGGGTGATTAGTATGTTCATTGTTACAGTTCTCTCCTTAGAACAGATAAGTAGATACAGTATGTGCAGAAATGCTTTGCAAATGCCCACTGGTAATCTTTTTTTTAATCTTGCATGGAGAGGAGGGATTATCCTTGGATGAAATTTATTTAAGTTTATCTCAACTTTTTTCTGTAGTGAATGGACAATATAATTTAAAAGTACATGGCAAGGCATTCTGCACATACTAATACATTTCTTTATATGGGGAAGAATAGAATGTTTTTATTAAATTTCTTACTAAAAGGCCTAAAAAGGATTTGTTTTTGTTCTAGTTTTAGCAAAATCTGAGAACAAATTAGGTAAGTATTTTACATACCTGCATTTTTTTATCTTGTTCACTGTCACCTATCATTCCAGCGCTACTGTCACTTCCATCAATAGACACCTAAAAATAAAAAAGCATAAACATCTTTAAAATCTACTTTGTGCTTGTCCAATTTCACAAAATTTTATTCCCCATGAAGTCTTCATTAACCTAATAAAATATTATTATACAATAAATTAAATAGCAGATTTCCTGTGGTTGTTTTAAATAACAATTAAAACATCCAAACTACAATTGCCTTACGGGCTGCAAAAACAGTGGGGGAGGGCTGTGTTGTCTACTGTGGTGTACAGAATTGCAGTCTAAACCACCAACATTAATTATACTGTATCTATGCAAACAAAGGCCGAGGTCTCTTAAATATGCATGGTGAATTTCTTAATATTGGTTTGAATGCAGACACATTCCTTCTGCTTATGGAACAGTCTTTCATCAAGTGGAAGTTTTGCTGGTGGAAACAGAGGAAGATACAATTTTTGCCTATTTTCCATTCATATTTGTGTGAGGATTCCCTAATTCTCCCAAATAGCATTTTAGTAGCCAGTGGACATTCTCCCTCTTGCAACAGTAAGAATACCTAGTGAGGACAATTCTTCCACAAGGGAAAAAATTTCTAGCACACAACTGTTGAAATTCCCAGAATCCTTCTTTGTTATTAAAGTCATCTTTAAAAATTGAATCATTTTTAATATTCTTGCCTCCAAGAAGCTATAATAAATATAGAACTGATTTATTGACATAAAAATATGCTATTAATTTTCCTTACAAATGAATGATTTATGATCAGAATTACTTTCTCAAGACTTTTTTTTTGTTTGCTCCAAATATAAAATCACTGATGCTGTATTTCTATTAATCATTTTATATTCTACATATTCATTATATATGCATTTCTTTTATCATACCTCTAATGGTCTGCTGTATTCCTCTCTAGTCCCAGTAAACTGTTTTCAACTTCCATTCTCTTCAAATACCAATCCTACCATATATTTAAGTTCAGCCAGTTTGGTGTTAAGTACAGGTAGTCCCCGGGTTAAAAATGCCTGGTTTACAGACTACCCATAGCTAAGAATAGAGCCTATTGTAACAAAATTTGAGTTAAATACGCAATGTCTCAAATTAAATACACAACAGTTTGAGTTAATTACACAATACTACTTATACAGTATTATACAATAATACTGTTCCAGCTTACATACAAATTCGACTTAAGGACAGACCTTGGGAACAGAACTCATTCTTAAACTGGGGACTACCTGTAGCTGGGTTCACATATTGCACAGGATTTCCTTAAAAGTTTTACTCAATAAGCTACAATTGTGGGTTCACACATGCTAAGTCATAAACAAGCAAACTATATTTTGGCTTAGCACAATATATGAGCACAACTACTGACTACTCCCCCATCTGATTCAATACATTTTAATTGCAATAAAATTCACTTTGATTTTATTTTATCACATTACCAATGCAAACTATATAAATGTAGGTATAAAGCAAAGTACCTTGGCTGCATATTGTTCCAGAGCAGTTATAGTATCTGGGTCAATAGTAGCATCTCCTGTGTGAAGACCTGCCACTGTGCCATCTGCCTGAATAGCTAATATGGTATCTGATTGTGGCACTTGTACTGTATGGTGAATGTAAGCAGTAGTCCCATCTTCTAGTTGTACTGCTTGCAGGGCACTCTGGTCGTAACTGTCTGATAAATTATTTAAGATAAATATTAAGAAAATTAATCATCTATTAGGGTACCCATTAAAAACATCATCCTATTGTGAACTCTCTATTCCATTCAACAATAATGTTTAAATATCATGAGAATTACCACCTGCCCTGATCTATTCAGCAGATTATACAGATGACACGTAATATCTACAACCACCCAGGGCAGGCAAGTAACCATGAGATCTACATGCTTGAACAAACTCATCATGAGATATACATGTTTGAACAACCCAGCTAAGTTTCTAATGGTTAAATCACTTATGAGTAAAAGCCTAGAAGTCTGGGATATTTTCTAAAGTATGGGATTTTAAGGTCATCTTTAAAATGAAGGAATGTATACAGTACATCAATTGACATTTAAAACAAGAACATGTGTGTGAATTTATTTATTTATAGAAAGTTTAGCAGTTAACACCCAGCATTTAGACTGGGCTAAGTCTAATTACCATCTTACATATTTATGCATCAATGATCTTGTACATTAGGAAAGAGCTTTTTATGTTCCATTCTCAGGAGATAAATTTCAGAGCATAGATATGAAGCCACATGGATTCAAAGAGGAAAAAGTGATTTGGATGGACAAGGATGCATATGTCTCACTTCCTTAAATAAAATCCACCTTCAAGTTGTTGTCAATAGGTGCAATAGACGTGCTCTGAATCACTTCCCCCCTTTGAATCCAGATCACTGCACAGACCTACTACAGAATAAATTGAGTTGCACACACAATTACAGAATTGTCATATAGGATGTTTTAATTGTTTTTAACTTCTGCAATAAAAAAAAAGATTGTTACTGAATTCCAGTCAAAGGTTTCAGGTTACAAAGTCAATTACTTGTTTTGTGGTGCAAATTACAATGTGAAATACACCGGTTATTTTCAATAGTTTAGAACAGATACATTGTTTATGTGATTAGAAATAAAATAAATGTGTTGGTTTTGTATTACCCAGCAGCAAAATGTCACCAATGGCACTTGCCTGTTGAAAGAAACAGTTCATGTGATTTTGGTTGATGTCATTCTATAATACCATGCGATCCCTATGAAAACAACATGGGAACTAATACCGCAAGCCACAAAGACAGTAAGTGAAAATCACTTGCCCCAGTGAAAGCATATGCTAAATTTTGGCCCTTCTGTAAAGAAAAGTATTCAAATAAGGCAAATCTTAAATAACCTATTACATTTCATAAATTAAAAGAGAAATTGAAATAACTTTGTTTAATGGAAAATCAGCAATATATTGACATATAATTTACCTTTTGAAGTGTGATGAATGAAAGCTGTTGTTCCATCTTCAAGTTGAACCGCCTGCCCATCTTCTAAATGAAGACTGTCTCCTACATCAAAAAAGAAAAACACCATTTAAAAGATATATTATAATTACAAATGTTCAAGACTTTATTTTAATATTTTATTATGCACTAGAAAATATATTAACTAATGAACTTCAAAGTTCAAACCAATGATATTTTATACAGTAAGTTAAAATAATAAAGTATTATAAAGCATTTTATCATGAAGTCAATAGATTTAAACTTGTATTTAATAAAATATACTTACTACTTTTAGACATGGGAACATGTTGGACATAGGCAGCTGAGCCATCTTCCAGCTGTATCACCTGGCCATCCATTAATTTGCCATCTGAAAAATATGTATATTGAACATTTAACAGTCCATCATCTCCATCAAAAAGAGCAACCTGCAGGGACTTCCGGTGGAGGAATAATGGCAGAAGGTTAATTCCAGCTGAAGCTCTGCTGAAGCTGAAATTTTAAGCGTGGTAGACCAGGTGTCTCAGGATTTTTTTCCGAGACATGAAGCATTCTCCAGGCAGGGAGAAGCCTTGAATTGCACCTCTTGTCTTCCAGATGGCTATAGCTTATCGAACGATCGTCGGATGCAACTGGACAGTGAGCGACCAGCTGGGAAGCGGGTGGAAGAGTGTCGGAGCCGTGTTTAAAGCCTCCTTAAAGAGACATTACTTCTGCCACCCCACTTCTAAAATCACCTTTGTTGTTTATTATAAGAATTTAAGGAAGCTATCTCCACTACAGAAATACTTCTCTTGGTTGGCTTTTCATTATTTTTTGGGATTTCTAAAGTGCGTTGTACTGGATTTGAAGGATTGAAATACGAGCATGCAATCCGGAAGTCTTAAAGTGCTGTAGAAAGTTTTTTATACTTTTAGGAGACTATTTTTTAATCTATATCTTACCTTTGTCTTTGAAAAGGAAGATTTTTATATAAGTGGTTTCTCATGGAGTTGGAGCGATCTATTTTTAGACGCTGTGGGAAAGTTTTGGTCTGCCAATTTTCTCAAGCTGTGGCTGGCTGTAGACTTCCTCCCCCTTTGCTTTGTTGTTAGTTGTGGCTATCTCCTTACATTTAATTTTGGGGAATATTATCTTGGGCCACAAGAGGGAGCTAAAGTACTGTATTTGTATTTGGATTGCTAAAAGGAAAAAATAGCTTTTTTCTCTCTCCTTCTAAGCAAAGGAGAAAAAGAAGACAATAGAAATAAAGACAATGGCCACTAGAAAGTTAACAAGGCGTGGCTCTGGTGAACATGACTGGATAAAAGGTATGTTTGAAGAATATACTTTAAAAACTACACAAATGATTACTCAAAGTGTTACTCAAACACTTGATTTAAGGTTTCTTGAACTTGAAAAAAGGCTTGATCAAAAAATTGACCAAAAAATTGAAAAAATGGAGAATAAATTGGAAGGAGGGACTAAAAATCTTAATGATAGAGTTGACTTACTGGAAAATGAAAGGGAAAAAGAACTGGACAAAACTGCATTATTGGAGTTGAGAGACAAAGAGTTTTGTCCAAGGTTTAGGGGAATCCCTGAACTTGAAGAAAAATTAACAAATATGATTACATGTGCCTTGGAGGAACTAATTGACTGGGAAGAAGATAAAATGTCAGATGAGATAGAAAAAGTTTTTTGTATAAATTCCAGATATGCAATTGTACATGGTAAGTCAAGAGATGTGTTGGTAGTTTTCCAGGAGAAAATCAAGGGATTTGATTTTGTAAGCGCATTTTGACTCTAAACTTAACATTGAGAATGTGGATATAATGGTCCTCAAAGAAATACCAGTAAGGATTTTAATAAAGAGAAAAGAATATGCATTTCTGAAAAATGTTTTGAAAAAGAATAAAATCCCCTTTTGTTGGGAAAAACTGGAAGGGATAAGTTTTTCCTATCAGCAACAAAGATTTAATGTATACCGGTATAACAAATGTTTGTTGGAAATGTTCCCAGGGTGAAGGAACATTTATCATCTTTGGTGGACATGTGAAAAGGCCAAAAAATTTTGGGACCAGATATGTATTGCTATTCAAAAGATTCTTAAGGTGAACATTAAAAAAAAAAAAGAAATTGTTTCTACTGGGTTTGATGGAGAAAGAATTGGAGAAACAACATGGAACTTTGCTTCTATATATGATCACAGCTGCAAGACTGTTATATACACAAAAATGGAAAGACTCACAAATACCTAAAGTGGAAGAATGGATTAAATTAATGGACTTGGCTCAAATGGCAAAGTTAACAGCTTTAATAAGAGATAATACTGTTTCTAAGTTTGTCTCCTCATGGCAACCCTTCCTAAATTACGTGCTTGGGTTGGGAAAAAATGAAGCTTTGACTGTGGAATTTAATGATTAGATGGTTTGTGTTGATAGAAATAATGTGAATTTGGACTAATTAGTGGTAAGAGATTAACTTTTTAAAAATTTGTACTCATATCTGTATTGGAGATAGTCGGAAGTCATTTTCCGTTTCATCTTTCTACCTATTCTCACTATTTTAGTTTTTGTCTTTTTCTTTTAGTTCTATCTTCTTTCTTTTCTATTATTTTTGATTTGTATTTTATTTGTACTTTTTATACATCTTAACAAAAGTTCTAATTAAAAAAAAAAAAGCAACCTGCACAGAACAGGCTACACTGTGCAAATTTATTTCCGGATTGTGTTCTCAACATGCAGAAATATTTTTATGGGTCATTCTCCAGACTTAAATTCAGCATCCAGCATCTGGAATTTACATATGCTATCTCTCTTGCTGCACTGGAATTCTACAGAAAATATCATCAAGTCTGTTACCACACCTGATATTGGATCAGATCACCTGCTGGGAGGCTAAGAAGTTGAATTAATACGACTGTCCATCTTTCAATTCCCCAGACAGATGGACAGCATTATTAAGACACAGATCACATGGACTGGAAGAGATCCTGGGGGTAAAAGCATTCATATAATGTGCTGAGTTTTGGACTGCAGCTCATAATACAGCCAAGAAAGTAAGAGCTACCTACATAAATGTTAATTCTATTTTGACTCCATCATTTTTTTACTCAAGTAAAGCAGCTAGGGTATATGTATGTGAAAATCAGAAGATACTTATCTCTTTTCCCAATTAAACAAGCAGTTCAAATTCATTTTTAGGAGAGTAAATATTGGGATGCTGTTCATATATATCTAGACTGATCTGGATGTCAAGGAAATTTAATTACATCCAGTTTTCTTAGAATTGTCCCCATGTCTCATTTTAAACTATATTATTTTTTAAATAAAACAGTTTAAAAAGTTTGGACAAGCTTTGTCCTATCTCCATCCTCCCCTTTTTAGGAAAGATTGTTGAGCAGGTGGTCACGTGGCAGCTTCACCAAACTCTGGAAGAAGCAAGTTTAACTGGATCCCTTCAGTTGTGTTTCAAACCCAGGCATGGGATCAAAACAGCATTGAGCACTCTTGTGGATGAGTTCTGGTGGGAGTGGGATGGGAGTGGTGCATCTGGATGGGGATTTGAGGCTTGAGCTCAACCTGAGCAAGACAGAATGGTTTTGGGTTTTAGAGTCTCCTAGATCCTGTGATCTTCCATCTTGCACTACCCAAAACAGAACTGTTGTGCAATATGGAAGTCCTTCTGGACTTCTGGCTCCTGTTTGAGGAACAAGTGGCAGCCATAGGCTTTTGCACAATTTTGTCTTGTATGACAACTGTATCCTTACCTGGTCTGGGAGGCACTGCTCAAAGTCACTCATGTCTTAGTCACTTCCTGAGCAGATTACTTTAATGTACTTTACATGGGACTGCCCTTGAAAAACATCTGGAAGCTGTAACTGGTCCAGGATGCAGTGGCACAGACAGTTATGGGCACATTTTGGTATGCCCATGTTATATCTTTGTTCTGCAAGCAGCAGTGGGTTCCAGTATGCTTCCAGGCGCAATTCAAAGTGCTAGCTGTCTTCTTTAAAGCCCTTCAAGGCATGGGATTGGGTTATTTGCAGGACTGCCTCTCTTCAATTTTCTTTTTTTCACTGGAGAAACAACTAGCTGACAGAAGAGGCATGCTTTGAGTCCCATTAATTAGGGGACGGAAGGCAATTTTTTTCCGTTGCAGTGCCTGCCACTGTAACACCATACCATCTTTTTAAAATGTATTTACATTTATTGAAAATTTTAAATAGAGTAAAAGACAAATCTAAAGAAAAAGATATAAGAGAAAGAAAAAAGAAGGAAAAAAAAGGTGCAACGAAAGGAAATATATTGAGCAAATGCTAATTAAGACCATTAATCTATAAAAGGATTAGAAGTATTTAAAGTACCTAGAAGTTTAAAAATAGAGTGTCTTTGGACCTTAATATTATATGAGTTACAACAGTACCCTAAATATTGCAGGAGTTGTAACAGTACAATAGCTTTATGCATCAAAACAGGTAAAGAACTATTTGAACAGAAAAACAAAGTCCCTAAAATCCTACTTTGTCCTATATCCTTATGTCAGTACAAGGATTCTCACATGGTTCTTATGATATCATGGCAGACATTGTTTGTACTTGATGTTAAAAGCCCCTTGTATATCATTCCTTCATCTGCATAAAATTTTCTTTTACAATAGGAACACCTTACTGCTGCTTCAAGAGTGAAACATGTTCTTAACCTTACAGCACAGTAACTACATCTATCTCTTCCTCTGACACAGAATAAATTATTAGCCTCTTACAAGGTATTCCCTTCTTATGTCTGCCCAGAACTGAATATTACAGACTTAATTTGAAGTAGCAATGTATAGAATTTAGCTTAGAAATGCTAAAACCGCATTAGTAACCTATTTTATACACATAAGAAGTAAGTTAAACCATGGGAAAGAAATTACCAGACTGTAGCCCAGAGCCAGCTTTCAGATCCCAGCTGCAACCTCCTCTTCTGAAGTGTGGCAATTATACCTATGAAAGCTTCACTGAAAACCTAACTATCCTGAGACTTCTGGTGGCAGGAGTGGCGGTCTGAATCTCTTTGCAATCTCAGCTGTTTAGCGCTTAGTGGGCACCACAGGGCGCTTTAACTAATTCCGGACAAGGGAGGAAGCTTGAAATCATCCTATTTGATTTGCGGACACCATTCCTTGTGAGTTAATCGCAAAAACTGAGGTTTTTGTGCAAGACTCACGTGTGGAGCGGCTGGGAGGCAAAGAATACAGCTCTGTTCATGGCTGAAGTGCAGCCTGTAAAAGGACACCGGAACCAGCTGACCCGCTTTTCTAACCACTTTTGGATTATATCTATTCTTCAGTTTAAGAGAGACTTCTTTTTACAGCAGATAAGTATTTCTCTTGGTATTTTTCTCATTTTGGGGGGGGGGATTATAAATTTTGGGAAGATTTGGAAACTTAAAGTAATTAAATTTTTGGATAATTAAAGGGATATAAGAAAGTTAACAACAGAGAAGGGGGAAGATTTTCATTTAACATTTTTTTTCTTTTTCTTTTTTCATGAATCTGTATTGTTAAAATCATAACTACGTTAATGGGACTCTGGCATTCCTTGGGAATGCCTTTTGTTTTCGTGTAACTGGCTTGATAATTGATTGGGATCATATATCAAAAGAACATAGTAATCAGCCTAGCCTATTTTCAGCGAAATCTATTTGTCAAAAATGTACAAAGGGACTTCAAATATATGCTGGAAATGTGAACAAGTAGGGACTTTTCATTATCTTTGGTGGACATGTAATAAAGCTAAAAAATTTTGAACTCAAATACATATATTAATTCAGAGGATTTTGAAGATTAATATACAATTTAAACCAGAGCCATTTCTCTTGGGAAGGATGGATAAACAATTGGAAAAATCTTATGGACCTTTGTCTTTATATATGATAACTGCAGCAAGACTTTTATATGCTCAAAGGTGGAAAGACTCGCTATTACCTACAATGAAAGAATGGATGGTAAAGTTGATAGAGCTAGCTGAGATGGTGAAATTGACAGCTTTGATGAGAGAAAAGAGACTGACTAATTTTAATGCTAATTGGAAGCCCTTTTTGGACTTTTTGCATGAAACAGAAAAAGTGAAATTATGATATATGGATTTGATAGTTAGCAAAATTAATAGATTATAGAAAAAATGGATGTTAAATTGTAATCTTAGAATTAGAGTTTAATCTATGTTTTACTTATATCTGCTGTAAAAGAAGTCGGAAGTCATTCTTTTTTTTTTTTGTATTTCTGGTTCTTCCTTTTCTTTCTTTCTACACTTCTGCTTCTCTTCTTTCTCTTTATTCTTTCTTTTTCTATTCTTTTCCTCGATTATTAGTTCTTATTAGTTTTTATCTTTTTTTAATTTAATAAAGTTATTATAAAAAAAGGAAACCTAACTATCTCCAAGAATTGTGTATGCTTGAATATATGCATGTATCTCAGAAAATGTGTGTGTGTAGGTGTCAGAATCAATGTAAGTTAAATTTTGCTTATATGTGTATACATGTGTGTATTGGGGAAAGAGTGCATATGTATGAGGGAATGTTTGAAGTGGGATGTGCAGTGATCTTACACAATTGTTGTAGTCCTACCCATCAATACTACAGCCTTCTTGGAAATTTAATTTAAGGAAATGTAACCCAGACTTTAATAAACAGGGGGGACAATACCCATGACTTAAATAACGAGTTAGACGTTTGTTGTTGTTTGTTTTATCTGGAAATGATTCCATTTCATGCTTGTGTAAAATGGAATAGATATTCAAATCTTCTCTAATTGTGAACACACATACAGACATTCTGCTGATTCTGGATTAATTTTTTTGGTCAAGCTTCTATTAATATTTATAACAAATACAATTTAACTTCATAAACTGGTCACAGTATGAAAAAATAAACTTCTGAGATTATTTTTATTAAATAAATTAATTGCAATAATGCTGTTCTAGATATACCTTTTGAATTGTGTTGTATATAGGCAGTGGATCCATCAGAAAGAGTAACTGCTTGTAAGCTCACTCCTTCCATGTTGTCCAAGTTGTCTCCATCTACAATTTAAAAAAACTGGCATTAGCATTTGTAGCACTAACTACACCTTTACTGCATGAATTACTAAGACATTTTAACCTTTTGGTAATATTCTGAGCTAATTTTATGGTGCGTTTTAAAATCCAAATTACCAATGTATGCTTTTTTAAGTTCAACCAGATTTGATCTTGTTGGAAGGGGGTATTATCCAGATAACTCACCTTGCACGGCTACAGCTTCTGTTAAACAGAGTGTTACATGCTGAGCTTCCATCCCTCCTCCAGAGAACTCCGTCATTCCCTGGGAATCTCGATTTATCTGGGCTAATAACATCGTCTACCTAAACATAACAGCGAATGTACATAAATTAGATTCAAACAGTATTCCTTACACCAACATTTAAATATTTTTCAAACCATTAAGTATTTGTGATTAATTTTTTAGGGAAGAAATAATTTTGCAAATCCTTATAATCCTCATTTTAATACTCAGGTGAGGCATATCAGGAGTCCTTGCTCCTCACAAAAATGTTGTATGAATTATTTTAAGTTTTATTTTGAACAGTTTTGTCCTCCAAGGGAAAAGCTTGATTGTGACATGTTAAAGGCTCAAATATAATTAATAAACATTCTGAGGGGAATAGTTTATGCAGAAAAGTGGGGAAAGTTCTATGATACCCCTTTCTGAAACAGAAATATACAAGACTGATTTATTTTATAGAAAAGACTGCAGAATTAATACAAGGGCAGGTCAGTTAGCTACTGCAACTCATAAAATAGGATCTTCAGCTGGTTTTTCTACATTTGCTCTGCAATAGCTACTAAATACAGTAGTAGAAAGCAGGTGGCAGCACTGAGCTTTCAATAAAGCTAATCAGGATCAGACTTAAGACTGGTTATCAACAGGAAATTCCAGGGCTATAGGATAGACTAGAAAGTTGAAAATATCCTGGAAGATGGTAGTGGCAAATCACTTCCATTTTGTTGCCAAAAACAACACAATTTTGTTTGCATATCTGGAGCTGAACTTGACTCAAGGTATTTATTATTTATTGAAGACTCAAGGGATACTTTACTTTTTCTTACAAAGTCTTGTTATTACAAAATATTGATATTACAAGATACAGATTAAATCAGAATAGACATTCCCAGAAGTCCAGCTTCACTTGAAGGAGACAGGTTTTGACATTGTATATTTTTGTGGCCAGGGACTGAATAAAATAAAATTCAGGAACATGATAATGGTATTCTTTGTTTCTTTTGTGGGTTTTAGCAGGGCTTTACATGTTAATCCTTGGGTTAACACATCTATTTTACCTTTATTTTTAAAAAAGCAGAAAACTGAGCTGCTAATTTTTGGAATTTTGCTGTTGATTTGCAAGAACTCAATCCTAGAATGATTTGAGGACCGCAAAAAAGGGCGGAGGGTTACATGATAGAGCAGAAACAGTGCAACTGACTACTAGTTCTTCTCATACACGCTCCTCAAAACCAATATACAGTGGTACCTTGGGTTACGAACGTAATCAGTTCCGTGACTCTGGTCGCAACCCGAATTGGTCGCAACCCGAGGCAAATTTCCCCATAAGGTTCAATGTAAATACGGTTAATCCTTTTTGCCCTCCGAATTTGGTCACAACCCGAAGCAAATCTCCCCATAAGGTTCAATGTAAATACGGTTAATCCGTTCCGCCCTCCGAATTTGGTCACAACCCGAAGCAAATTTCCCCATACAGTTCAATGTAAATGCAGTTAATCCGTTCTGAAACATATGCATTTTATTTTTAAACCACAAAAACATGAAAAAAAG